GGGCTCTCATTCCGCCGTTTTGGGAATGCTCACTCGGTGTGTAGGCAGGTGCAGCTCATGGCTTGTTTGCTTGTTTTACAAGGGCTCACAACCTTGAGTCTCAGAAGAAACTTTGGACTCTTGAACAGTTAGAACTGTGAGGCTGGGGGAACCTTTGAAGATAGACTGAGTACATATTGCATTAAGAGATGTCCATAAGCCTATGGCAGCCAGAGGCTGAAGGTTTGGGTGTGCAATCTCTTCCTCGGGCTCATGTAACTGAACACTTAGTCTCAGCCAGCTGTGCTATTTGGGGAGGTGGGGGAGTCTCTAGGACAAAGGGCCTCCTTGGAAGAAGTGGGTCACTGGGGGACATGGCCTATTTTCTGTCCCTCTGCTTCCTGATCTACTGAGATGTGGACAAGCAGCTGCCACACACTCCCCCATTATCACAGAGCCACATGCCGCAGGCCTCCTCCACCATGAAGAACCACATCCCCTCAAACCATACGCCCAACTGAAACCCTCCTCTCAAGTCGCTTCGTGTCACGGCCACGAGAAAAGAAGCGAATACACTTGCCGTAAATACCTTCTGGCCGTCTTTTGAAATGACCACTTTGCTGTTCTTTTTGTTCTAATACATGTTTAGACATGAAATACTTCCGTGAGTGTTACCCCTGACTTTGACTATCAAAAACACACAAATGAAAAACCCCAAAAGCAAAGCCACGGAGGACTCCAGTAGAACCAGTCTGAAGATACAGCAGGCTAAGGGGGCGGTTGGGAGTCTAATAACATACTACATGGAGAGTGAGCTATTTTCCCTATAAGATGGAAGAGAGCAGGAACCCTTAGGTCTTCTGTGTCTGTATACAGGGGCACAGGTGCGTGTGTGTGTGTGTAGGCCAGAGGTCAAACACAGGTGTCATTTCTCAGGTGCCATCCACTTAGGGTTTTTGTTTGTTTGTTTTGAGACATGATCTCTTATTGCGCTAGAGCTTGCTTGCTGAGTAGGCTGAGCTGGATGGCCAGCAAGCCCCGGAGATCTGCCCATCTCCTCATCCCCAGTGCTAAGATTATACATGCACACGCCACATCCATCCTTTTTCTACGTGGGTTCCGAGGGTGGAATTCAGGGCCTCAATGAGCATTTTGCTGGCTCCCCAGCCTCCCATTTCTTAAGTCTCAAGGACGGATCAAATCCAGTCAATCTTGACCCTGACTCAACAATGGAGTCTGTTGTAGCAGAACCGTATAAACGTGTGTCTCACTTTTTTTTTCCAAGTGAAAAGTCTTAGCAGTGTGGCACAGGCTAGGGCTTTGCCACTCTATAAATATCCATAATGTATGATTTCCTCCTTTGACTCTGGAACCTAAATAAACAGATTATGTTCCAAAAATTCCATAAAACCATAATTTAGTGGCCACGGCACTCCTAAAGAATCTCATTCTAAATATAGAGAGGTATTCCTCTGCAGAAAAATATCCCAGCAACTTGGTTCTAATATATAATTAAATCCTCTAGATACTTTGCAGTTATGTTTTATGGCTTATTTTGAGTGTTCATATTTTATCAGAAAATTATAATTTTCCTCTAAATAGGAGTTTTTACAAGGCGTTTGAATTATGATGGCTGGCTTCGTGCTTCAGCTATAATTAAAACAGTGAAAGGAAATAGTGGAGCCCCCAAGGCACACATGGTCCTGCAGAGTGCTTGGTCCCAGCATCCTCCTGCATCCTCAGAGCTGGGGCCACACTGACGAACAGGGAGGGTACCATTTGTAACCACAGCTGGCATGGCTGCCTTTAGGATGGAAGAGTGGCCTGGGGGAGGAGGGAACGGAGAAGGTCCTAGGGAGGGACTCCTTTGTATGTTTCTCGGCTCAGTTTCTAAGTGGCTTATTCTCAGGACCAGGATCCTGACCATGTAACCCCATAACATGGCCCCACACCCAGTCTTCCCCTTGAGAAACTCACTTTCTCATAAACTGTGATGATATTCACTCTCCTCTGCTTCTCCACTCGGCCGTCAGCCTCACGAGGGCCGTTAACTTTTTGTCAATTTGGCACAAGCTAGAATCATCTAGGAGGAGGGAACCTCATGTGAGAAAATGCCTCCATCAGATTTGTCTGTAGGCAAGGCTGTGGGGCATTTTAAAAAAAAACTGTTATGAAGGACTGATGTGGGAGGGTCCAGCTCACTGTGGTGGTCACCCTGGGTTGTATAAGAAAACAAGCAAGTCGGTTAGTAATGTTCCTCCACGGTCTCTGCCTCAGTTCCTGCCTCCAAGTTCCTGCCCTGACTTCTTCCATGATGGTAAGGTAAAATAAACCCTTTCCTCCCCAAGTTGCTTTTGGTCATGGTCTTTGCCATATCAACAGAAAGCAAACCAATACAAGGGCCAAAGCCAAGTGTTCCTGCTCAGTACTGTCTGTAACAAGTTCTTGAACACTCTGTATGAACTTTCTGGGAAGACCATAGCTGAGTATCTTATACTGAGGGACCCACACCCAGGAATGCATTTTGTCACAGTTCTAGACAGGCTGGAAGTATGAGTGAGGTCAGGGTTGATATCATCTGTGATCTGTCTCTTGGCTTAAATGACTGTCTTCTACATCCCCCGTGGTCCTCTGTTTGCATGTCTGTGTCCTAATCTTTTTTTTTTTTTTTAACCATAGCTGAGGACTGAACCCAGGGCCTTGTGCTTGCTAGGCAAGCACTCTACCACTGAGCTAAATCCCCAACCCCCTGTGTCCTAATCTTAGAAGAATATACAGATACCAAACACACTGGACTAGGGCTCACCATAAAGCCTTTATTTATTTTAGATACCTTTTAAAACCCCTATGCCCAAATAGGGAGTTCTAGGGATCCAGATTTCAATATATAACCTTTCAGGAGGTGCAATTCAAGCCATAATGCCCATACTGGACATTTAGCAAATCAATGTTGATTAAGAGTAAAACAAAGACACTCACAGGCCTACCTCCAGACACAAGGCTCACACGTCCGCTGTGCCTGCTGAGTTCCTCCAACTCCCATCCCCCCATTTGCACACTCACAGG